CCCCCGCCGCGCCCAGCTGTTCTGCCCCGGGCTTCCTCTATTCAGCCGCTGGTCAGTTTTAGCAGCGGCTGAATAGAGGAAGCTGGGGGCAGAGCAGCTCCAATGGTCCGGCTGCGGAGCACTTCCAGGTTCCTGATGGTGCCGGACCATCAGGAATGTCAGACCATCAGATGCCGGACCAATGGAGTTTTACTGTAATTACTTCCCAGTATTTCCTGGGGTTCTAAGTCAAGGTAGTGTGTCTACATTAAGAGAGCCTGCCTCAGACTAATTTTGAGACTTCCCTGTGGTGTGGACATGCTATTTCAAAATAGTTATTTCCAGAGTTAATATTTCTAAATAAATTATTTTGAAATAATTTCCTAGTGTAGACATGCCTGTAGTGAGGAACTGCAGCTACAGGTAGTGGAATATAGTTACAAAAGCACTGTAGAGAAGCACAGCTACCTTCAATGCCCATTGGGAGCTACAGAATGCACGCTACCATCTTTGTTGACTATCTTTTTCAGGAAATGTTAGAAGAAAATAAATTAAAACCTAATTTGGGTCCCTTTTTTTTGCCAGTTGGTGTTACAGTTGAAACAGCGGGAACACATGGAAGTGCAGAAATTGCTTCTTTTTGTTCTTCCCTTTCAATTTCCATTCTTTCTTTTTCTTCTTCTACCTTCTTTGCAAAGTATTCTCTAAGAGGAAAAGAAAAGGCACAATGATGGGTTGCTTAAGAATATTATTAGGTAAAAGAGGAGCAAGCATGGGCTACTGAGAAAAATGCATCTTAGGAGATGAAGTAAGATCTATTCATGAGTCTGCTTCTGAGTTCTCATGTAAACCTGGGAAAGTCAATACATGTACACTTTTCTGCCTTAGTCTAGCCAACTCTAAAATAGGTTTAATAATGCACAACACAAAGGGATGTTATAAAGCTAAGTAGATATGTACTTTGAAAACTTTGGACAAAAGAAGTAACAGAAGGGGAAAGTATACCTATCCAAATGAGAGTGCCAGTGCTGGTTAGTAATTACACTCCATTTTAAGCTATTTCAAATAGGAAGCCTAATCCGAACTACCTAGTCCGTGCCGTGTGTAGCTGCGGGCATAGAGTCCGAACTAGCAGACATTTAAAAATGGCGGCGCCCGGCAAGATGCAAATGAAGCCCGGGAAATTCAAATCCCGGGCTTCATTTGCAACTTCGGTTGCCTACATTAACCACCCTAGTTCAAACTAGGGTGGTAGTGTAGACATACCCTGAGGGTCCATGGAAGAACTTTAATGCTACTTATGTCCTGCAGGTCACTTGAAGAAGTAGCAGAGCTTCTGGCTGAGAAAGATTCCAACCTAAGCTCCATGAGCTGCTGAAGGAAAGACCCATGTATTGAAATCAATGGAAAGACTCCCATTGACTTCACTGGGCACTAGATCAATTCCATACATAGATCCAGTGTGTGAGGACTGTGGCTGATTTTCCAGATCATGACCAAAAATGGGGGAGGTACATATGTTGGCAGTATATTCTAAATCTCATCTTTGTATTCTGCACAATGTTGGTTTATTTGGATTTTGTACTTGCTGGAATTAGGGTTGCTAACTTTCTAATCACATAAAACCAAACCTCCTGCCTCGACCCTTCCCGTAGGCCCTGTCCAAGCTTCACCCACTGCTCACTCCATTGCCTGTCTGTCACTTGCTCTTCCTCTCCCTCACTCGCTTTCATTAGGCTGGACAGCGATGGGGTATAGGCTGTGGGCTGGAGGTGCAGGCTCTGAGAGGGCCCAGAAATTAGAGATTCAGAGTGTGAGAGGGCTCCAGTTGGGCAGGGAATACGGCATGGGGAAGCTCCAGCTGGGGGTGCAAGCTCTGGGATGGGGCTAGGGATGAAGGTTTGAAGTGCAAAAGGGGACTCTAGGTTAGGCAGGGGATTGAGGTGTGGAGGAAGTTTGGGGTGCAGGTCCCGGTGATGCTTGCCAGGGAATGGCACCCCTAGGCACATGGTCAGCCAGAGAAGCTCTTTGTGCTGCACTTTACACTCACAGGCATTGCCCCATACAGCTCCTGTTGGTCACAGTTCCTGGCCAATGGGAGCTACAGAGCCCTCACTCGGGGTAGGACCAGCTCTGAGAGCCTCTCAGTTCATGGCAACCCCTACACTTTGGGGTTGCAGAGATCTGGCAGCCACTTCTAGGAATAGCGCAGAGACAGGGCAGATAGGGATCCTGCCTTAGCCCTGGATACCCACTGCGCTGTCGACTGGAGATGCCAGGGTCCCTTTTCAACCAGAAAACTGGACACCTCGTAACCCTAGCTAGGATGAATTTCACATTATATAAATACAGCAGTGGGAAATAATATAGTGTACAGCTTCACGTGGCAGTAATATCCTAGAAATATTGTGTAGAAAGAATCAGGAATAACATTAGAAAAAAATACTGAGATTTTAAATATATTATTTTATTTACAACACAGTTATTTGCATGTCAAGTGCAAGAATTTGTTTTACTACTGTAAAAATCAATTAAATAAATATGCAGGACCTACCCAAGTAGCTCATCAACTTTACACTGGTCAGTAGGTTTCAAGTCTCTGAGCATTTCGTTCAGTGATCCATTTACCCATTCTAGGGCTCTATTAATAGAATCATTTATTTCTTTCTCATCAGCATCAATTGCTTCAGGGGAAGCATTTTCAAGGATTTCAGAGTGAGAAGAGACCATGATAGAACAAATGCTCTGCAAAATGATTGTGAAAAGCTTACAAACTATTCCAGTTCTAAATTTGAAATGTCACTTTAAAAGATTTCAAAGATACGGCCTTAAACATATCCCCTTGCCTGCAACTTAATTGATCCAATAGGCTTTTTCTTGGTTTCTTGTGCTCCTGCAATTATGGCTTTTCATCTAAGATTTTCAAACTATTAATGAGTATTACTTATGTGTTAATTTTCCTGTCACACATTTTTTATATTCATTTTATAGAACAGTAAGGTAAGATTTAGTGTGATTTAGCAACTGGCCCAAAATAAGGCCCTGAGCCTGCATATCTGATCCATGCCAACAGACCCTTAAACCTATGTGGCGTCTCCAATCCAATTCAGTGGGGCTCTGCATGAAAACAGGGATCAGACTGCACCTATGACATTGACAGCACTGGGAACAGAACCCAAGACTCCTAGTTTGTGTTTTAGCCACTAGAATATTGTTAAAACTCTGCTAGACAAGGTGGGGGAGGTAGTATCTTTTACTGGACAAACTTCTCTTAGTAAACGAGACAAGCTTTCAAGCTTTCTCATAAGTCTTTGGCAGGTCTGAAGTGTGAACTTCTTTGCGTAAGTTATTGCTTTTTCAGATCTTTCAGCAATGGAAATTCTTTACAAATATTAGTGAAAATAGACTGAAAAATATACAAAATAAATGTTTTAAAAAGATGACTAGAGGTAACTTTATTTAGGAAAAAATCAAAACATTGCATCTATTTCCTCTTATGAAATAAGCATCTGCACAAGTAAGTTTCATAAGTGCTATTCGCCTGGTAATATGTTTATAAATTGCATTAACAAATCAGACACAAAAAGGGTTAATGACAGTATCAAATATGTATAAATGCTGGTGAACCACAATTAAGGATACAATTCACAGTGGTCATCAATTCTGTGATTTTTCCTGGACCTCTGTGACGACTTCTGGGACAGCTGTCAGCCTTATGACTGCAAGCATAGCTGACTGGCAGTCAGCCCTAGCACAGTATCTCTCAGACTAGCTGGAGAACCCGCTGGAGCAGCGGCTCCCGGCCCGCTGGAGCAGCAGCTGAGGTTGGGTCAGTTCCTGTGGGGCTGGAGCAGCAGTAGCCAGCACCTGTCACAGGAGCAGTAGCTGGACTGGAGCAGCTGAAAGCCCCAGCAGCACTCTATTTGTCCCCCTCTATCCACCCCAGCCGCTTTTAGTAAAAGTTGGAGACAGGTCATGGGCTTCTGTGAATTTGTTTACTTCTGCAATCACTATCTGACTTCTTATTAAAAATGCCCATAACAGAATCTTAACCATGTACAGGAATTGTCAACTGTTGCAGTAAAAAAAAAAAGTCATATAATGGAAATGTGAATTTTAAAATGAACTCCATTTTGACTAGTCACTAATTACTGTGCATCCTTTACAGATTTCCTAAGGGAATGACTGCCTTAAGGAAGTTAAACAAAATGAACCTAAAACACTTTCCAATCTGGATTTTTTATTTATATATAAACACCATCTCCTTTTCTGAGCATCTTCAATTAAGTTAATTATAGTTATATTACTAGGAGGGTGTAAACAGCTACCATCTATAGTGCAATTGAGAGACAAAGTGGATGAGGTAATATCTTTTATTGGACTAACTTCTCTTGGTGAGAGAGAGAAGCTTTTAAGCTTATACAGAGCTCTTCTTCAGTTCTAGGCGTGTCACAGCTAAATATAAGATAGAACAGATTGTTTAGCATAAGCAGTTAACATGTGTTTCAGTGGACCATTCAAGTTGAAGGGTCTGTTAACATCATTCCAGTTGGGGGGGGAGGGAAAGTAGCTTGGATGGGAGGGGGTTGTTAATGGGTTACAGATTGTTGTACTGAGTCATAAACCCAGTGTTTCTATTCAGTCATCTATGGAACACCTTGGATGCTAATACAGAATAATGCTAATGTGAGAGGAATACAGCACTAGTCTTGAACTTCTGGAACACACAATAATATTTTTGAATAGAGTGAAACACACATTGCACTAAACTCTCAGGGTGAAAACCTGTTCTTTCACATGAACTGTGTTAATATTAGACAGTGTGCTTTTTTTCCCTGAAATACAATAGTGTAATAGGAATAAAAAGATATGTAACTAAAAAAAAATGAGAGAAAATAAATGTAGAGTAAAAATGTTTATACAAGCAGAATTGCCTCCAAGACCAGGAACAGTTCTAATGCCCTGATCCTGCAAATACATATATATGTAAGTTTAAGCACATGTGTAGTAAGGCTGTGAATGTTTAACTGGTAAGTCTCACCCTTAATGGTTAAGGTTAACTAGTGGGGACTGGAATAGCTTCTCACCTGACACAGGCAGGAGGGTGATCCAGCTCCATGGAGGACCCTCCACGGACAGGGACCGCTCTAGTTTTGGTTGGGGTGGGTGGGGGGGGGGGGGCCTGCAGCAGGCAGGGGGAACACGCCACTGGGCTGGAGGAGCCCCTCCATTCACCTTTCCCCTTTAATTGGTTAAACAGTTAAACAATATGTTTAACCATTTAATTAATTAAATGGGATTTTACATCCCTAATGTGTAGTTCTGTTGACTTCAGTGGGATTATTGAGCACATGTGTGTGTGTTTATAGGATTGATGCCTCACTTAGCACATTACCAGTGAAAGAAGACTCAGAAAGGTGCCACTGAAACATTTTTAAAAAAAGAAAAGCAAGACACAAAACTCCAAAACTCGTGTTATGTAGGGAGGAGGAGTTAAATTAGGGTCCAAGTCTAAGAAGTGCTAAAAGCTATATTCTGCCACCAATGGAATCAAGAGTTTTTCATGTGGTTGCTTTGGCTGCATAACAGGATATTTTTTGTGAGATAAGCAAGAGGGTACAATTATATGACAAACAACAACATATATAAATGTAATTTCACATGTGGGTCACAAATTGAAATAAAATCATTATTATTCCCAAAACAGTGAATTCTGTATAATATTTGGGGGTAGTGCAAATTAGTTAATTTTCATTTGAGTTTTGCTACTTCTGACTTACAAAAGTAATTATTTCAGGAACTTGATCTACACTTATCTCCTCCATCTTGTCTCAATAACTAAAATGACCCATCACTAACAATGGTGAAGATGAGCATCTCTCTGTAATAATGTCCTGTTTGGATATATAACAAAATAAGATGCAGCTCATACCTTCTCATGGTTTTTAACCGTGCAAAATATTTCCACTTCTAATGTTGGTCGACCAGCTCCATCAAAGACTTTTCTTCCAATTAATTTGCATATCACTGGAGGTTTTGAAAATTTAGAGAAGTAGTTAGCCTTGAAGAAGAGAAAAAGTTTGATTAAAAAAAAATCAATTTTCTGTGTAAATTAGCCTTTCATTTTATTTTAGCATTAAATCAATCACTGGGTAAATCTATTTTTGTGCCTTGATAGTCATCAGGGTACTTCAGGTAATAGCATTCTTATTCCTGTGTTGTGTGCTTAAGAATCATTCTAAAACCTGGGCTTACACGACTGTTGACAATCTATATAATATTAATTTCTATTAATGTTCATATTGTGACAGATATTACAGCCCCATAGTGTTTAATTGGATACTCTTATATTAAATTTATGAATGGTTTATGTATTATTGTGCCCTTCTACATGAGGGAAGGTTACCACAACTCCACCAGTAGTTTAAACATACAACTCTCTGGAGTAGTTTGAATATACTGCTTTAGGCTAGTTTTCCAGAGACTAGGAAAAAAAGAAAGGGCTTTTGGTATAAAATAATTGGTTTTAATTCATTTGTGACCTTCCTTTTGATTCAGCAAATGGACTGGACCATTGCTCCTAGGGAGAAACCAACTCTGGAGGGAGGGGATGGAAGAGTGTTGATCTATCAAGGCCCCCTAAGACTGATGAGTGATTTCTGGCATGTTTAATAAGCATGTTAGCCCTTCCATTGGTTTTTTTTTTTGGGGGGGGGGGGTGCTGTGATGCTTTTATACTAAGAATAAATGTGCACAGCTCAGAAAAAGCAACATGGTAAACAATGTTCCCTCTAATCTTTTCCATCCATGTGTGGATTTTTTCCATCCATGTGCAGAATAGCATTTTAACGTACACTGAAGCATGTGTGAATGCGCACCCACAATAGAAAACACAAAATCTAGCTGTGGATACTCTGTTAATCATCTGGGCGATAGGGATGCCCAGGCTGAAGCCTCCCAACACAGGTTGGGGGGTGGAGAGACGGGAGCTGCTCCAGCCTGGCTGGGCCAACTGCAATGTGCCATAGGTGCTCCAGACCAGCTGGCTTCACCGAACCATGACACAGAAGACCCAGGCAGGCCACAGCGGCCTCTAGCTTGTGGTGCGGTGGGATCCCTGCAGGCACCAGAGCTTGTCTAGCCAGCTAAGGGCCAAGCTGGAGGAGCCCCCACTGACTGCAGGCTATCCAGGCCCCAGTTAACCAGTTAAAATTATATCATTTAATCAGTTAACATTTTAAAGGAATATCTACATCCCGACAGTAGCATTTGAATGCCTCCTGAGGGGCAGCACAAGCAATAGCTTACAAGGAACAGTGATGGTAACTTGTAAATAGGCTTGGTAGGATTCAGTTTTAATCAGTAAATATCAATTTCAACTGACACGCTGCAAATGACTGAAAAAATATTAATTGGTACAAGACTGAATGTCACTGGCCCTGCAAAAGAGCAAGGAACCCTCTGCAACCATGCTGTCATGGGACTGAATGAGCTGGTGTTCAGCAGTGAAGATGCAGAGGGCTCCCTGAATGACTCTTGTGGCAGTACAGGAACCCCATAATAGCTCTCCTGGCTCGGGAGTGCCAAGGGACTCTGCTGTACTCTGCCAGGAACACAGTCTTCCTCACATCTTACGGGGTGTCACCAGCCCTGCAGCTCTGTTATCACCATAGTGAGGAAACAGGGCCATGACACCAGAGCTGCAGAGGGCTTCTTGCCTGGCTGCATGACTGAACCAATCTCCACACGTGCAATATGTGAGGAGGCTGTGATTACTGTGATCTAGAAAATCAGAGACCACCAGCAAGAACCCCCAGCTATGAGGAAGGTCCTTGTAGGAACAGCTCCCACACTTCTGGCTGGTGAGTGAATGAGTCTAGCGACATCCAATTCCTGCAGACACAAGTCACAGAGGTCCCACCAAGGGGAGGAGACACCAATGATACTCTAATTTTTTCCACCCATATGCAGAATACATTTAATTATGTGCACAAAGGTATGACTAATGTGCACCACTGGTAGAAATACATGTTGCTGGCTGGAGGCAATCTACTAATCAGCTGGGCAGCATCTTGAAAGGAGAATGCAAAGTACTCTACTTAGGAAGGAATAATCAGTTTCACACATAAAGAAAGGGAAGTGACTGTCTAGGAAGGAGTACTGCAGAAAGGGATCTAAGGGTCATACTGGACCACAAGCTAAATATGTGTCAACAGTGTGATGCTGTTGCAAAATAAGCAACATGATTCTGGGATGCATTAACAGGAATGTTGTGAGCAAGATATGAGAAGTCATTCTTCTGCTCTACTCTGCACTGATTAGGTCTCAATTTGAGTATTGTGTCCAGTTCTTGGCACCGCATTTCAAGACAGATATGGAGAAATTGGAGAAAGTCCAAAGAAGAGCAACAAGAATGATTAAAGGCCCAGAGAACCATCCTGTGAAGGAAGACTGAAAGAATTGGTCTTGTTTAGTTTGGAAAGGAGAAGACTGAGAGGGGACATGATAGCGGTTTTCGGGTATCTAAAAAGGTGTCACGATGCGGGAGAAAAATTGTTCTCCTTGGCCTCTGAGGATAGGACAAGAAGCAATGTGCCTAAACTGCAGCAAAGGAGGTTTAGGTTGGACATTAGGAAAAACTTCCTGTCAGGATGGTTAAACACTGGAATAAGTTGCCTAGGGAGGTTGCGGAATCTCCATTAGTGGAAATATTTAAGAGCAGGTTAGACAGACATCTATCAGGGATGGTATAGACCAGGCATGTCAAACTGGTGATTGTCGGGGCGCATGCAGCCTGATCAAAATTTTTTCCAGCCCATCAGTACATTTTTATAAAGGAATAAAGTGCAGCCCGCTTGGCATTCACATGGCTGAGTGCAGATCACAGCCAGCCGGGCTGCTCTGCGCTGCAGTGACTGCTCACGAGGCCGCTCTGTGCACAGAACCCAGCACAGGCTCGCGGCCGGCCGGGCTGCTCTGTGCTGGGTGCTCTGCACACGTGCTCACAGCCAGCTGAGCCACTCTGCCCATGGCTCCCAGCACGCTCTCACAGCTGGCCACTGTGCTCATGCCGCCCCAGCGCATCTGAGGAAGAAATGTGTGGCGGCAGCAATAGCGACTCCGGAACCCAGATATTAGATAGGGGGACCTGGATGTGGGGGAGAGAGGCGGCATTAGGTTTGGGGGGCGGCCACTGTGCTCATGCCGCCCCAGCGCATCTGAGGAAGAAATGTGTGGCGGCAGCAATAGCGACTCCGGAACCCAGATATTAGATAGGGGGACCTGGATGTGGGGGAGAGAGGCGGCATTAGGTTTGGGGGGCCTGGCTGTGAGGGAGAGAAGTTTATACTTGTTTTTATTTCAACAAAACAAGTTATGTATCATATAAAAATTAAAAAGTACCTTAAATGTATATGTAAATTAAAAATTATTTTATCTGAGCAAATAATTTCACAAATCAAATTATTGTAGTATATTAAAACAAGACATGAAAAAATATTATAAACTATACCTAAAACATAATCTATAACAATAAATAATTACGACTTTCTGATAAAGTACATTTTCTTTGGTGGCCTGAAAGCTATCAGTTTTTGTTTGTGCGGCCCTCAGTAGGCTTCGAGTTTAACATGCCTGGTCTAGATAGTACTGGGTCCTGCCATGAGGACAAGGGACTGGACTCGATGACTTCTCGAGGTCCCTTCTAGTTTTAGTTTACTATGAGTCTATGAATCTCTCCTGGGTGATCACCCAAGCACATTGCTTAGAGCAGAGGTGGGCAATAAAATGGCGGCAGTTTACCAGGGTTAGCTCCAGGTAGGATGCAGATGCTGTACTGTATTTACTTGCACTTCCACAGGTACGGGTGACTGTGACTCCCATTGGCCGTGGATCAGAAAGGAGTGGAAAATTGGTCCCTACCTAACGACAGGTGATGGCTACAAGACTGGGAATTTCTAAAGCAGACCATAGAGGAAGAATACAGATGCAGTTACTCCAAAAACTGACATGCATAACTCGCCTCTCAGGCTGTGTCTACACTACATGCCTCTGTCGGCAGAGGCATGTAGATTAGGGTTGTAGGCAAAAGTAAATGAAGCCACGATTTAAATGATCGCGGCTTCATTTACATTTACATGGCTGCCATGCTGAGCCAACAAACAGCTGATCATCTGTTTGTCGGCTCGCCGCTAGTCTGGATGTTCCCCCTGTTGACATCAAAGCCCTTTGTCGGCAGCCCCGTTATTCCTCATGGAATGAGGTT